ATCAGAAACTTGATTACATCACAACCACCATCTCAAGACTTTTGTAACTATCCTTTGGCATTGAGGGTTCAAATTAGAGGATTAAGGTATACACAATGAGGAACAATTAACATAACTATTATTGAGGACAATGATGCTTTTAAGGGAGGAGAATATAACAAATCTATAGAATATCTGACCGAAATTCCGATTTTCTCTACAAAGTCAAATGATAACCTCTCAAATACTCTTAAGAGACTATGGGTATTTTGATGAGAAAAACATCTTTTATTAATGGCCGAAAGGACATTGTTAACATCGATTTCTCAATAATCAAGGATTTAGACCTCCGGCCAAAGAATACTTATAGATGGAATTAAACACACATCGGAAGTCACATGACCATTGCAGATCCCGAAGCTCCGAAGTGACGCGAAACCCGAACTTATAGTAATTATTAATCAAACATGATTTACATAGAAATTACTAATCATTAATTACTGTTTGACATAAAAAGGTAATAGGATATTATTAATGTGTTTGATTTATATTGTATTTCATTTATTATTTTTTTATTTTATTAATTACACATATAATCTTTTAGGAAAACCACTAAGATTATATGTATATTATTCTTATGTATTTTATTATATTTATTTATATTGGAAAAACATATATTTAAAGGTTGTATTTTTTCTTTAATTATCTTTAGAGTTGTCTGCTCCACTTTTACATGAATAAAGTTTTCCTTTATTAATGATAAATTATTGATGATCAACATGATCTTTTCTTAAACTATTATAACCTATCTATCTTTATTATTTTGTAGACTAATTTTTAATATTCTCCAGATTACAATAGAATTACTATTTTTCATTCTCTTTTTATCTTTTTCTTTGCGACTTATCCCTTCTTTATATCTTATATAATCATTTACTTTTTAAGTTCTATCACATTTTTTCTATAACAATATATACAATATAATACGAGTCAAGCCCGGATTATATTTTAATAAAATTTAATCGAGTCAAGTTTTTTATTTTAATTGCAAGTCAAACTCGAGCCTAAACAAAACTCGACATAACTCGGCTCGTTCGGAGCCCTACTTTAGCTACTGAAAGATTCAGCATCTAGTTTATGTGATGTGAATGCAGATACCTTGATAATTCAGTCTTTTACTTGTATCAAGATCAAATACAAGTATCATTAAACCCTTAAATGAAAGAAGAAATCTGAAAACTAAGAAGTAAGTAAGAAATACAATATAATAAAGAGGATCTACTAAGTTCTTCTTTTTCATTACAACCAGCCTATAAAGTATATTTAACAACTATTATATTTCTTATAATAAATTTATAAAGTTGGATTAAAGAGAACAAAAATACTAAAATTAAAAAGCAAACTTCTAATTGAATTCAAAGATGAAAAAAGACCGGTTAAAAGAAGTAGGAGCAGGAGTTTTTAATAGTTGAAGGAGTTCTTCTAATCGAGTCATCTTATTCTTTAAATTAAAATTTTCCAACTTTAACTTTTTATTATAACAGTAAAGGATGTAGCATTAGAAAGAGTTTTCAAATTTGCTTTTAACTTGATAATCTCTTTTTTCAAAACCTTGAACTTTTCTTCCTGACATACTAAATGCTTCAAAATTTTAATTCTTTTCTAAAGTATTACTATGGTTTCCTAGAAAGAATTCTTGTAATCAGAACAAGTAAAACAAACAATTTTAAACATATGATTTTCTATAGGTATAATTATAATAATAACAAATTTGAAGTAAAAAAAAAGAAGAAAAAATTAGTATTCAATATTAAAAATAAAAAAGATTAAATATAAGGAAACAAAAATGACGAATATTCTTAGATATATGAATTATCCTCAAAATAAAATAACCTAGGGATTCATTAGGCTATAATCTGTTGACATTATATAAAGAGAACAAATTTATAAAAAATATATAAGTATATATCCAATAATTTTAAAATAAATTCATTTAATAAAAAGGAAATAATTCAAAAATTTTAATATCTTGAAAAAATAATACACAAAAAGTTTTGAATATAATAATTGAATTTGTATTTGGAAAGTTTGATAATATTTAAACAAAAATCAATTCTTAAATATTAATTTATTTAAGAAACTGATGGAAATAAAAAGATCTCTTAGCTATTATAAATTTACAACTTAAAATTTATTTTATTACTATAACTATTTAAGAAAAACAAGTATGAGCAAACTTGAATAGATTGATCTAATATAACTAGGAGAGATAATTATTAACATGTGAAATTTGAATAAATAATGTAAGAAAACTTGATTGACAACTGATAAAAGAAAATTATATGGAAAAAACTATAAAAACTTTGTTCAGTATTGAAGATATTTATAGTGACAGACAGTCTGTAATTTGGAATTACATGACAAATGCAGTAAATCTTGCTAAGCATTATTATTAATATTTGAGTATTAACTATACAATAATAAGAATTACCAGATACTATATTAATTCTATTCAATTATTTTTATATATAATTGAACTAATAACTTGTAATTTGATCTGTGGAGCACTAATCACTATACTATAGATCCACAAGTTATGTAATTATTATATTTATCATTGTAAATTAAGTGAATAATATAATATAATTGTTATTTTGTTATATGATTTTCAATTGATATATTGTTTATATAAAATAATAAAAAATATTTAAATATTGTATAAAATTGATTGATAAATATAGTATAAAATTTGATTGATAAATAATTTGGTATCAATTATTAATCAATATTTTGAAACAATTCTTTTAATTAGTTAAATAAAAATGTATATAAATATTTAAAAGTTTTGAAAAATAATCATCATAAACCTTTTTTTAATATAATTTAAACTTGCTTTTTTTTTTTTATCAGAGATTTTTATCTCATTGCATCAATATATACAGTATATTTTTTGATGTTTTTGAAGGTTCTATTAAAAAAAAAAAAAGTGTAGTGCGAATGTAAAAGTAGTAATGTTACAAGAATAAATATACAGTATATACGGTATATGTTTTTAAATGTTTAGAATAAGCAATATCTGTATAATTTGGAATTAGATAATTACGGTAGATAAAATCAAAGTACAAGATAATGTTTGATTATATCAATTTAATCTAATTTTTTTTTTGGTTGAAAATTTTTATAAATGATTTTAATGATTCATTAAAGATTCAAAATCCGTTACCCAATATTTTGATATTATTTCATTATTCAATCATTTACTTTTTTATTTACGAATTAATAATTTTTTTTTGAACAAGAGAAAAGAAAAAAGAAAGCATCGTCGATCTGTAACCTCCAACTGAAGATGGCGTAATTTGTGTACATACCCATATGCCCATCTAAAAATATCAAGGTTTTCATCTCTCATGATTTTTAAACCCTCGCGTATTCTTGATTATGATAACCCGGGCTCAACACGATAAAATCGTTATTAACATTACAAGGAAGTTCATTGCTCACATAATAGTTGAACTTTTAAATTTCTTATACTGTATATGAGATTCGACGAGAAATTTGCGAGTGACACCGAAAAGATCTGATCAAAAAAAAAAAAAAAAAATCGAGATATAGACGCATGCATGATACGTTATACGCATGGTTACATCGTGATAAGTAGGAGAAAAAAAAATAATGCAACGTGGGACGCATCAAGAAAGTGATACGAATTTTTCTTAATAGAAAAATTACAATCATCTATTTATGATGTTTCTTATCTCCAATCACTGTTGTGCAAATTACACACGTCTCATTCTTGTGTTCTTCGTGCGGATGAAAACTATACACAAAATCGAACGAACCTAAATCAAATCATAGCTTGCATTCTTCATGCGATACTCCTGCGTAGGAATTCTAAAAAAAACAAAAAACATCGAAAATAAATTCAGAGAGAATTGTGGCGTTCATTCGCGCTTTGATCTAAATTTAAATAACAATTAGGGTTAGAATCAGTCGATTCATCGGATTTTGCTATTTATAAATCATTGATGCTCTCTGTCCATCGAAATTCATCCAATATAATTCAGTTATTCAGCTTATTGTAGTCTTATTGAATTATCTCCCCCCCAGATTGTGTGAAAAAAAATGTTGCACTACGCGGAAGATGTCAATGAACGCTTTACGTCACTAAAAATATTTACTCAACCTATATATAGATAAACGGGACAAACCAAACTATCGCCCGAAAAAGGTAATATTTTAATTGGACAATGTATTTATAAGGTAACACGATAAATTCTTTCGCGATGAATAGATAAGGTCATTTATTAATATATCTAAAAAAAGCATATACAGTATATGCAAAAAATATGATCAATAAATCCGTCACTTATCAAAGGTAAACCCGCTGTTTTGCAACGTCCGACCATAATTTAATTATAAACAAAAAAAAAAAAAAAACGAGTTCTATAACCATACCGCGAGCTAAACAAAGAAGTATCCAAATTAACTATCACTAATTAGCATAAGTTGCATTATTAAGTAATTTCCTAAATTGTCACTTGTGTCGTTCGTTTCTCTAAGTAATCATCCCGTCAAGGGCGTAATATTGCATTGCATTCACGGCCAATGTAACAGAGACGCAGAGTTATTATGCCAGCTGTATATCATTCTTCTTTACCATCTTCTCTCCGAAACAAACTTCGAGGATAATTGATTCTCATAGTTCCAATTCTCTTTGGTGACACACATTATTCTCACTCTTTTCGCGATACGAATTAATGACGCAATACCAAATTTTTTATATTTGACATTACAATGAAGACAAAAATATAACAACAACAACAACAAAAAAACGCCTTATCAATAAGAATCTCTTCGTGCTTGGTACTTGCGCACTAAAAATAGATAACGGAAAGTTTGAATTTTGTTATAAATACGAATGCCTTGAGTCCTAGCTTGCTCCTCACGATTTTCCGTCCTTACGAAAATTGTAGTACATTTTAACGAAACAAAAAAAAATTTTCTTTAAAAAAATTAAGATAATGCACTCAACCAAGGTTTTGCTCTTTTTGTTTCTCGCCGCGTTCGTTGGCGCAGTTCCCCATAATGAAAATATTCAAAGGCGTGGTTATGAAGTAACCACTAGTTGTTCCTCGAGCCATCCTCATCCCACATACCCCCCTCACCATGAGAAGTATCCAAAGCATGAGAAGTATCCAAAGCATACTGAGTACAAAAAGAAAGTGGTCTATAAGACAGTCACTGCCACGACCACTACGACCGATATTTGTACCGTGAAAACAACCACCACCGCACCAGTAGTCGTCACTTCATACAGTACTTGCACAGTACCAACCACCGTATACAGTACCTGCACAGTACCAACCACCAAATATAGTACTTGCACAGTACCAACTACCGTATACAGTACTTGCACCTCCAAGACCACCGTACCAGCCACCGTATACAGTACCTGCACCGTACCAACCACCGTATACAGTACCTGCACAGTACCAACCACCAAATATAGTACTTGCACAGTACCAACCACCGTCTATGACAAGACAACCAAATATAGTACCTGCACAGTACCAACCACCGTATACAGTACTTGCTATGAGAAGACAACCAAATACGACCCAACCACCGTATACAGTACTTGCACCTCCAAGACCACCGTACCAGCCACCGTATACAGTACCTGCACAGTACCAACCACCGTATACTCCAAGACCACCGTATACAGTACTTGCACCGAGAAGACCACCGTACCAACCACCGTATACAGTACTTGCACCTCCAAGACCACCGTATACAGTACTTGCACCGAGAAGACCACCGTACCAACCACCGTATACAGCACTTGCACCGAGAAGACAACCAAAGTTGTTACTGATTACACCACCAAGACAGTACCAACCACCGTATACACTACTTGCTATGAATCCGTAAAACCGAAACATGATTAATTTTTTCTTTTTTTTAAAATGATCACGTAATCATCCGCAAAATACGGGATCTCTTAAATGTAATAACAATTTTGCTTGTTTTTTTGAATGAATCAGTAAAGTTTAATCTGTACTCTATATAAATGTAATATTTTATCTTGGGAAAAATAAAGTTGACCTGTGCATTAAAAGCGACGCGTTTTCAATCACCTAAAAAAATGTTATCCAACACGTGAGATGAGATGCATTTACAGTATCTTTTTTTTTAAGAAATTAAATTATAAAACACTGGTTTTTATTAGCTGTACGGTACGTATACATAGTCAATCCCGTTAATCCGAACCCTGTTAAACCGAAGTACTAATTAAAATCCTATTAAACCGAAATTTATTCAAAAACTGTCATATTGTAAATTGCCTTGTTAAACCGAATTTACTAGGTAAACCCCTCTAAACCGAATTTTTCAAAAAATTTTACTAATAGTCCCGGCCACTTCGGTTTAACGGGATTCACTGTGTATAACATAATTTTTATTACAACCAGATTACAGTATATAAAAAAAAGATTATAAAGATTATAAAAGTTCTGATTGCAAATTTTATGTTATTTGAAAAAATTTTATTGATTATTTAAAATTTTAAGAAACCTAATCAGATAATATACTTGTAAATTTTAAACTATAAACTTTATCATAATAATAAAAATGCATGTTTAAAATTTTAAGAAACCTAATCAAATAATATACTTGTAAATTTTAAACTATAAACTTTATCATAAACTTTATCATAATAATAAAAAAAAATGCATGAAAAACTTGACAAAAAATCATATTGATATAAAATACTATTGATAAATTTATCAATTATATAATACTTCACACATATACTGTATATGGATAATTATTTTTGAAGGCGGACCGGAAATTTTCTGGTACTACAATTGTGATCCTAAAATTTACATTACGTGTTGTATTGTTTAAAAGTAGGGTTCGAAAAAATTATATCTAGCATTTTTGTCGTCTTCAAAAATAATTACCCATATGGGTAATTCTTTTCGAAGGCGGACAGGGATTTTTCGGTCACTATAATTGTGATCCTAAAATTTACATTGTGTATGTATTGTTTAAAAGTAGGGATCGAAAAAATCATATCTAACATTTTTGCTGCCTTCAAAAATAATTACCCATATACTGAATATATGTTTATTATCATTATCGTTATCGTTAATATTACTGTATTATCGTTAGCATTATTATTATCGTTGGTATTATTATTATCGTTGGTATTATTGTTATTATTATCGTATCTCTAATTATAATTTTGATATTCAATATAAATTCATAATCCATATTGTTCCATAATTATAGCCCATAATTATAGCCAAATTAATTTATTTTTTTTTAAAAAAAAACAAACAATCGATTGAGAAATATTAAAAAAAAAAAAACGGTTTTTACACTTAATTCATTCATAAAAGACAACTATAATTTTAGTACGAAATCCAAAAGAATGAAAATCCCACAATCACTTGATCCGAATTTAAAACCCTGATGCACCCCAACTTATCCTAATTGAGAACATTCTACCGTTTTGAAATTTGCCAAAACTTTTCTCATAGAAACCATTGATTTTTTTTTTTTTTTAAAAAAATAAAATAAAATAAAAAGGGGAAAAAGTTTGCTTGAATTTTCATATATTGTGTCAAACGGCACTACGCAAATCCCCCATGAACGTGAATAGAATGGTTCTTGGGTTCAATGGGTACCGTACACAAAGTGAAAGGCGCATATTA